CACTGTTAAGTGTTTCCAGAGCATCCTGAACTTCCTCTATGGTAGTACTGATTTTCTGTCATTACTATGGCTTGTGTGTTTTTCGTTTGGAAAAAACAAAACACAAAAACAAAAACAAACAAATCCAGATAAGAATACTTTGGCCTATTTTCTCCAAGTGTGTTGTTTCAATAAAACAAAACATTGCAAGTAAACTTGAAGTAGTTGACGTTCCCTTTCCTCTCTCCTCTTTTCCAGAGGCAGCCACTATTATGAATGTGGAGTGTAGTTTATCAGTCCACGTTTTAATTTTTTTAATACCTATATACCCATAAATATATAGAATATGCTTTTATATGTGTTTATAATGAATACAAGTTGCAACCTTTAAAATATTTATCATTCTACAACCTTCTTTTATTCACTCAAAAATAGGTCTGGAGCCCTAATCGGGTTAGCTCAGTGGATAGAGCGTCAGCCCTTGGACTGAAAGGTCCCAGGTTCGATTCCGGGCAAGGGCACTGAAGGGTTCTTAGCAAGAAAATGATAAAATGAGGCCTGCATTTTAGTATATGGTTGCGGGCACATCCCAAGCAGGAGTGTGTAGGAGGCAGCTGATTGCTGTTTCTAACTCTCTATCCCTCTCCCTTCCTCTCTGTAAAAAATCAATAAAATATATTTTAAAAAATAGGTCTGGAGGATATTTTTTTATTGATATAACCTGAATCTTTCATTTTTATCACTATGTAATATTTTTTTATTAGAATATACCCCATTTTATTCATCTATCACCCTAGTAATGGACATTTAGCTTCTATTAATTTTCCACTATGATAAAGAATGTTGCAAAGAACATATTTATACATATGACGTATGGACAAGTGTGAGAATTTCTTTAGAAAATGTCAACCTGCACTTTTGTGGCAAAAAATGATAGGTAGTCCATGGGTTGTATAGCTGTATTTGGAGAGCTAACAGCCAGTAGCATAGAGTTGGTGCTTAAGTACTGAAATCAATGTGTGTGCATTTTCAACTTTACAAAATATTGCCAAATTGCCTTCCAAAGTGTGAGTGTACCAGCAGCATATAAAGGTTCCCATTTCCCAATATGCTCACAAACACTTGGCATTGATATGTGTTTTTATTTTTATATAGCTGGTCATAAAATCATATCTTATAATTGTTTATATTTACATATCTCAATTTGCTTATTAGCTATTTAAATTTATTCTGCTGAAACTTCTTTATTCATATCCTTTACCCATTTTTTTTTTTTTTGCAGGTTGGGGGGAATCTTTCTTTATTTTGACTTTTTATTTTTTTAAATTAAATCTTTATTGTTCATATTATTACAGTTGTTCCTCCCCCCCCCCCCCCCACCCCCCA